CAAAAATTCACAAAATTTCAAAAAAAATCTGAAATTTAAAAAATTTAAAATTCCCTTTTCCCCTTTTTTCCACAATTTTTAGTTTTGCTGTTTTCATAAAATTTTTAGTGTAAACAGAAATTTTGCCACACTTTTTCTTTCTTATCAGTTATCATGTGCCTTTTTAACTGACATTTCAGATTCAAGACAAAATTTGTCTCCAACAAATTTTTCTCTGAATTTTGAATTTCCGATTTAAAAATATTTTAATAACTTTCAGATGGTCCATTTCTCAAAATTTATAAAATTTCCCAACCAATTTTTCAACAAATTAGAAGTCCTAGCAATATCTTTTGCCAGAAGGAAAGGAAATTTTTGGAAAATTTTTCAAAAAATTCAAAACAAATTTTTCGTAATTTTTTGCAAATTCCGAATATTCTGGCGGAGATGAAATTGATGAAAGAAACAATTTTGACATTGCAACAGGAGCTTGAGGATCAGAAGAAGAAAGTGAAGGAATTGGAAATGGGTCAAAAAGATTCAACTGGATTGGAGAAAAATACTGAGAATTCTGCTGAAGTTAAAGAACGTAACCGGTCTATAGTTGTGTCAAACATTCCCGAATGTGAGTCGAAATTTGCGCATGAAAGAAACGTGGCGGACGTGGCAAAAATGAATATGGTCTTTCGGCACCTGGATGCTAGTGCTCTTCCGGTAGCAATCTACAGACTGGGGCGACCACGATCAGACGGGAAGCCTAGATTAATCAAAGTGGTGCTACCCTCCTCGGCTAGCCAGAAAGAAGTTTTATCCAAAGCCCCAAGACTTAAATCTTTTTATACTGCGTCTCTCCCTTCTGTGTTAATTAAAAGTCATTGTCTCCCACCGAACTAGAAATCCGCCGCAAAGAATTAGCACAACGCCGTACTGAGAAACCCCCTTTTTCTGTTAACCTAGTTGATGTGAACATGTCTCCCATACCCTCCACAATTTCCTCCTCAAAAAACTAATCAGCCACGTAGGACCTCAACCACGTTTTAATTGTAACTTTAGAGCTCGCCAAAAATTATATTGCAATGTACCTGATTGTTCTCCACCTCGAAAACTGCATTTGACCGTTTTGACCGCAAATGTAAGATCCGCAATATGTAATAGGTTAGAGATTCAGGCTGTGGTTGATAAAAAAGAAGTTGATATTATTTGCATCCAAGAATCGTGGGTTTCCTTTAAAAATCAAGATACTATTTTGACAGGCGCTAACAAGAATTATATAGTGTACAGATGTGATCGTGAAAATGACCAAAGAGGAGGTGGCGTGTGCTCGCTTATAAATAAAAATTTTCCGGTTAATATTGTTACTGCAGAATCCTTTCCCAAATCCTACGAAATACTAGTTACTGATATAAAAGTAGATGTTGAACCAGTGAGAATAGTGAACATCTATCGTACTCCCTCCTGCTCTCATAAGAACACTATCCGTCTGCTTAATAAAGTAGCAGACATAGTAAATCACTCGGGTAAAGTAATTATTTTAGGCGATTTGAATATCAGCGGTATTGATTGGAAACTTGAACACCACGTTACCTCATCCAAATTGGGTCAAACCCTCCTTGACTTTTGCATCACCCATAACTTAAAGGTGGGGGGACAGGAGATTTTTCGTAGTTTTTTTGTAGCTAGAGTATGCATTCTACCGTGACAACGCTTAATGTCACTCTGCGTACAGCTGTCGTCCTCGCCTTTATGTATGCAATCGGGCGTCCGCTTTCTCTTTGCCCGCGTGGCTCAGTCGGTAGCGGCGCCGCACCCTCAATCCTCGCCTCCACAAGTTCAACTCCTCGAGGGGCATCTTTGAACGGAATTTCGAGAACATTATTTTTTTTCATGTCCCCCCACCTTTAAAGCAAAATGTTAAATGTCCAACCAGAAATCTTAATATCCTAGATGTAGTATTCTCTAATTTCTCTCTTTCTAATATTACAGTTTTGAATCCAGTTGGGTCGAGTGACCACAACAGCATAAAAATCCAATGTGACCTCCTGGGTAAAATCAATCGTTCTGAACAGCTGATATATGACTTTAGAAATATTGATTTAAGATCTTGCGTGGAATACTTCGATGCCGTAGATTGGGCTTTAGTTTTTGATATGAATCTATCTATTAATGAGATGTACGAAAATCTTATAGATCACTTAAAACAGGCCTTGAAAATTTCAGTACAGCAAATAATTTCACCACTAGAAACGACATCGCTTCCCACTCATTTGGTTTTGCTAGAGAAAAAAGTAGCCGTGAAATATGAGACTGCCCAGATCACTAGAGACATAGAGGATTTTAAAATATATGTAGTATTAGCCAGAAAGTTTAGAAAAAAGTTAGCCAAATTTAAGGGCAATGAAGAGTTAAAAAAGCTTGAAAAATATGGAACCAGTAAATTCTCTAGATTTTCAAAAAGCCTGCTCAAGCCTAAAACAGCCTCTTCTGTGACATTGACAGATAAAACCGGAACTAGTTTAAAAACAGACGAAGATAAATCTAATCTTTTAGCGGATTCATATGAGATGCAGTACACTAACCCTAGAACAGACCAATTCAATTTACCTCCTAACTACGTCTCCCACCAGCCATTCATTTATGTGACTGATGATGAAGTGTACAAAAGATTACGTGAAGCAAAAAATTCTTGCTCAGATACCAGCGATGAAGTGCCTTTCAAATTCATCAAACTCATAGCGCCACTGATTTCTAGTGCTTTAGCGCAATTTTTTAATCTAACAATGATGAAGGGTTGTGTCCCCAGTAGATGGAAATCCTCCATAATCATTCCGTTACCTAAAAAAAGTAAACCAACGAATCCAGTGGACTATCGTCCAATTTCTCTCACTTCGCACTTATGTAGACTGTATGAACGATGTATCTTAAGTAGACTAGCTCCTGTAGAAAACGTTGATTTTTTATCGATTTTTTTGGAAGATTTGGAGAAGATTTTAAAGGAGCAGAGGAAGAAATTTCGAGTTTTTTCCATTGATTTTTTGGATCGAGAAGATCACAAAAATCAGGAATTTCGTAAAAATTATTTGGATCCAATTGAATTTCGAATTTATAAAAACTTGGAAAAAATTCTAAAATCTGGCCAAAAACTGATCTGTAAAACAGTGGCATTACGAACACATTCAATTGCCAATGCTATTATGGTGCTACCGTACTTTGATATGCAGGCAATGGATTTTGAATTCTTGAATTCTTGAATTCTTGAATTCTTGAATTCTTGAATTCTTGAATTCTTGAATTCTTGAATTCTTGAATTCTTGAATTCTTGAATTCTTGAATTCTTGAATTCTTGAATTCTTGAATTCTTGAATTCTTGAATTCTTGAATTCTTGAATTCTTGAATTCTTGAATTCTTGAATTCTTGAATTCTTGAATTCTTGAATTCTTGAATTCTTGAATTCTTGAATTCTTGAATTCTTGAATTCTTGAATTCTTGAATTCTTGAATTCTCGAATTCTTGAATTCTTGAATTCTTGAATTCTTGAATTCTTGAATTCTTGAATTCTTGAATTCTTGAATTCTTGAATTCTTGAATTCTTGAATTCTTGAATTCTTGAATTCTTGAATTCTTGAATTCTTGAATTCTTGAATTCTTGAATTCTTGAATTCTTTCTTGAATTTCTAAATCAATATTTCCTGAATGTTTCGGAGGATCTCGAAAAGTAATAGCCGAAAACCGATGAAACTCAACAGTATATTTATTTAAACGTCGAAAATTATAATCAACAAGAATTTTTCGATTTGGTCATCGTTCGCCTCAGTTACGGTCGGAAGACGTCGTCGGTAGGCATTGATGGTGGCACGGTCGAAAGTTTGTACCATTTCTCGAAAAGTATTTGTTCCAGAGCCGCTAAAGTTGAATAGGGTGTTGAGCAGACCTTGTTCTGCAAAACCCTAGATGAAATAGTCAAGGGGTTTCAAATCCAGCGAGTAGGCTGGCCATTCGTCTCCCAGGCAGGTGCGCCTCGCACCACTGCTGGGTGAATTTGGCGGTGTGGCCTGGAGCTTCGTCATTCTGGTGAACCAAATGTACCCGTTCAAAGTAGTATTCGGTCCGTGGGAGCAGATTCTTCTTCAAGATTTGCTCGATGTACTTTTTTTCGACGACACGGACGTTTTTATCTATGAAAGTTGCTATTTGAGCATATCGCATAAAAAACCGTAATTCTGGCCGGGTGGAAAACTCCAGGAATGATTTTTTTCTTTTTCAAAAGCTTCCTTGCTATCCGTGGCTAATCCATAAAAACTTTGAAAGTTGGATTCGGCTTCAATCGTGAACCACTGCTCGTAAAGAAAACGGACCCCAAATGTTTTCCTCGCTGCGTGCCACCCAGAGGAAATTTAGCCTTGTCCAGACGCAACTGCTTATTGCTCTCCGACAAGATGACTGCTTTTGGAATACAATAGCATTTTAGATTAAGCCTCTTTCGGGCTATCTTTTGAACTAAAAACCATATTAATGGCCAATTTTCTGAACGATCTATGTAGGCTACTCCTGATTTGATATCCAACAGCTTCAACGTTTTCTGTAGTTGTCACCGTAGCTTTTCTTCTTCTCCCAATGCGATCAAATAGAGATCCAGACTCGGTGAATCTTTTGATTACCTCAAAACACCACACGTCTGCAATCGCAATGCGTTAAATGATCTCGTTTCGATTAACGCCCTACATCTGAAGGCTGATAACTTCGCATGGTGGACGTTAGGGCTCGCCATTTAGCTGAAGCTCGACCAATAAATCTGAAAATTGGCAGAAATACTAATTATGAATTAATAATTAAACGTACAAAATTTGATGCTCCTATTGCGTACCAGCAACGAGAACCATGCCGCCAAAATTATGTGCCGGTAATTAAAAGCCACCCTGTAATTAAATTTTTTAACTTTTTAAAAATTTTACCAGCCTGTTTGCCGCGCCTCAGGCGCTACAAACAGCTGGCTGGTGCGCCTTCGGCGCTTCGCGACTCACTCCCTTTTTAAAGATCACATCAGTTTATATTTTAATTCAAGTTTTTCCACATGTGCGGACAGAGTGAGATATAAATAAATAAAGAAACGCAACTTCATTTATTTTTGTTTGCCGCGCCTCCGACGCTTCAAAAAGCTGGCTGGTGCGCCTTCGGCGCAATATAACCTATATCTTCCGTTCGTCGCTTCGCTCCCCTGTCTTACTCAAAGGGTCACGTCAATTTAATTTAATTTTCAAGCTTTTCAAAATTTGCTGACAGACCGAGAAATAAAGAGACACTACTTCATATATTTATATAACAATTGTAAGAATGATGATGATGATATTTTCAGGACCTCAGGAAACTATCAATTAAGCCAATCGATAACATTTTGTCACTGAAAGTTTTTGAAAATAATTTGATAATGGAGATTTTGTTGAAACATTTGGGCCTTTTTGAAATGTGAGTTTTTTTTTGGAGATTTTCTCAAAAATTCTACCGTAACTCTTCAAATTCTTTTCTGATCTCCTGATAACAAAATGTTCATAATCAGCTTGGTAAAACGGTCAATATGAGCCTAAACACGACGTTTTCTGATAATACAAATTTTCGGTGGGCTAGAGACATTTTTCAAAAACTCTGGAAATTCTACCGTAACTTGCTCAATTTGTGTCATATTTTCATTAAAAATAATTTTCTGAAATAAGCTTGTCAAGGCGGTCAAAATGAGCATAAACGAGATGAGTTTCGAAAAATTTTGAAATATTTAAATTTTTTTCCGGAAAACTCAAAATTTCCAATTTCAACAAATTGGGTGGTGTTTGCGCTCATTTTGAAGCTGTAAACGTGATGAATTCATTTTTTAAGTTTTCAGCCAAATCCTGCGAAAAGTTTCCGCTGGAATTCGAAAATGTGTGGACACCGTGAAACCTGATACCTATATTCATGAAATTGGAATTTCTTTCGATGATTTTCGATCAATCGGATATGAAATACAATTATCACCTGAATATCATTTGAAAGCCGATAATTTTCAGAGATTACTGTACTTTGAAAATGGACCAAATCAGGCGAGAATTGAAACAACTGAAAATGGAAGATTTCGAAGGAAACAATATTTTTCCGAGGAAAATTTGTCAATCGATTTTTTTCAAAGATTTGGAATTGCAGCTGAAATTTCAGAAAGGAGAAATTCAGAAAATCACATTCAATTTTGATTTGACCAGGATTTTTCGACAAAATCGAACGCCGGATTTTTCAAAATTATATGAGAGAAATCTGAAATTTTTGGGAGAATTAAAAAATTCTATTGGACCCAAAAAGTTTCTAAAAATTCAAACTTTATGGATGGTTTCGACGAGACAAGAGGAATTAAAGATAATTTTGGAATTCATTTTTCCGAAAATTTTGGTTTTCAATTTTGTTCACGACACTTCCAAAGTAGAAGAAAATCGTACAATCCAACGAATCGACTTTTCGGAAGATCGAAAATTTTTGGAATTAAACGAAATTTCGAAAATGAAGGCGTGAATGGATTCTGAAGAGATTTATTGTCCAAGTTATCGAATTATTACGGAAATTCAGAATTTTGAAATTGCTCATTTAAAAAAAGGAGAGATTCTAGTGGAGAACGTTTCGTCGGAAGATGTGGCGTACTTGAAGGAGGTGAGGAGGTTCTGGAAAATTAGGAATTCAAGAATTCAAGAATTCAAGAATTCAAGAATTCAATAATTCAAGAATTCAAGAATTCAAGAATTCAAGAATTCAAGAATTCAAGAATTCAAGAATTCAAGAATTCAAGAATTCAAGAATTCAAGAATTCAAGAATTCAAGAATTCAAGAATTCAAGAATTCAATAGATCAAGAATTCAAGAATTCAAGAATTCGAGAATTCAAGAATTCAAGAATTCAAGAATTCAGAAATTCAAGAATTCAAGAATTCAGAATTCGGAAATTAAAAATTTTTCAGAAATTCCTCCAAAATCAACGTCTTGAAAAGTTCCAAATCTTTTTCAAAAATTGTCAAATCAATGGAGAAATCTACAATCTACTGGGCAGCCCATTCAAAATCACTGAACATTTCAGTGTTTGGTATTTCAGAATTATAAATTCAGAATTTTCACTTCATCTGAGATTTGTTGTCTCAAAATCTATCACTTTTTCTCTTGTTCCATTGAAAAACGTTCCTGAAAACGCGTTTGTTTAATAAAACTTTTGTTTTTTTAATTCAGAAATTATGATTTTCAAAATTTCGAAAATTCTTCAATTTTGAAATGTCAACTAGTGTCTTTCACCACACAATTTTCAAAACCCCGATGAATAAGAGAGACGGAAAAAATGTGGTTCAATTGAAATTGCAGACACCTTTCCTTTAGAATCAACTGATAAGAAAAGCGGGAGAGACTGTATGATTTAACCTAGTTTTTTTATTGGTTGGTCGCTCTTAAAGGTGGGGGGACATGAAAAAAAAATAATGTTCTCGAAATTCCGTTCAAAGATGCCCCTCAAGGAGTTGAACTTGTGAGGGCGATGATTGAGGGTGCGGCGCCGCTACCGACTGAGCCACGCGGGCAAAGAGAAAGCGCAGAATTTTTCAGAAATTTCTCCAAAATTAAAAATTATAAACATCAAAACGAGCAAAAAAAACTCATATTTAATACCGCACATGGCATAGGACTCTAATATCGGAATCTGAAAATCTTTACGAAAAACGTTTTAGCTTTTTTCAGCCTAGTTTAGGAAGTTTTCTGGTACCATATGGTACCGTTGTCACCGTATGGTTCCATCGTCACCATATGTTACCATAAAACTTTTTGTTGAAAAATACTTCATTTTTGGTTTTATGGTGTCATGGTGAGAATGTCGCACCATGTACCAACAATGCGCGATATGGTACCATATGGTACCATAACCCATTTTTATAGAAAAAATTCAATTTTTGCAGAGAGAGATAGGATTGGGAGGAGATCATCAAGACGTTTGGCGCAAAAGTCATCTTTTTAAACAAATTGGACATTGTCAATCAGCCAGCTGGCAAGACACCGTACCATACCATGAACTATGAGTACCATAAAGTGAAAATGTTGGAACAGAACTATTGTTGGATTCTCAAGTATCCGGATAGTAAGGTGAGGCCGATTTTTTCTCTACCATGGAGTGCCACAATTTGAATTTTTATGGAAAATGATATACCTACCATGAGTACCATGATTACTATGAGGTACCATAATTTGGAATTTTCATTGAAATTAGAACATGGTGCCATACGTTTTGGTGTCATGGCATTTTTGATAATATGAAACCATATTTTTGTGACCGTGGTACCATATGGTACCATATTATATTATATTGATTTGCCCCTACTTAAATATGAATAAATGAATTGGTTTTTGAAATGTTATCTTCCAAACTTCAGAATTAAGGCCTGAAACTATAAAAATCGAGTTTATTGAACTTCAAAGTAGCCCATTTTCTACTTTAAACTTCAAAATTAGAGTCTCAAACTATCAAAATCAAGGTTCCCATGCCTTTTTACCCCTGGAAGCCAACTTTCAGCTTGCTAGCTGTATATATGGGAGATTTCAAGGATTTGGAAACGCATTTGAAATTTCAGAAAGGAGAAATTCCAAAACAATTAAATTCAGAAATCTGAAATTTGTGAAAGAATTAAGAAATTCAATTGAACCCAAAAAACATTTAAAAATCGGAACTTTATGATGGATGCGTTTCGACAAACAAGAGGAATTGAAAGAAATTTTGGAATTCATTTTGCCGAAAATTTTGGTTTTCCAAGACAAAAAAAAAACGAAAATCATGAAATTCGGCAAATCGACTTTTCGGAATATCGAAAATTTTTGGAATTAAACGAAATTTCAAAAATGAAGGCGTGGATGGATTCTGAAGAGATTTATTGTCCAAGTTATCGGATTATTACGGAAGTTCAGAATTTTGAAATTGCTCATTTAAATTGCCCGGTGGAGAATATTTCGTCGGAAGATGTGGTGTATTTAAAGGACGTAAGTTTTCGGAAAATTCAAAAATTCAAAAATTCAAAAATTCAAAAATTCAAAAATTCAAAAAATTCAAAAATTCAAAAAATTCAAAAATTCAAAAATTCAAAAATTCAAAAATTCAAAAATTCAAAAATTCAAAAATTCAAAAATTCAAAAATTCAAAAATTCAAAAAATTCAAAAATTCAAAAAATTCAAAAATTCAAAAATTCTAAAATTCTAAAATTCTAAAATTCAAAAATTCTAAAATTCTAAAATTCTAAAATTCTAAAATTCTAAAATTCTAAAATTTTAAAATTCAAAAACTCAAAAACTCCTAAAATTCAAAAATTCAAAAATTCGAGAATCCGAAAATTCTAAATTTCTAAAATTCTAAAATGCTAAAATTCTAAATTTCTAAAATTCTAAAATTCTAAAATTCTAAAATTCTAAAATTCTAAGAGTGTGGAAGTCCTAGAATTCAAAAAATTCAAAAATTCAAAAAATTCAAAAATTCAAAAATTCAAAAAATTCAAAAATTCAAAAATTCAAAAATTCAAAAATTCAAGAATTCAAGAATTCAAGAATTCAAGAATTCAAGAATTCAAGAATTCAAGAATTCAAGAATTCAAGAATTCAATAATTCAAGAATTCAAAAATTCAAAAATTCAAAAATTCAAAAATTCAAAAATTCAAGAATTCAAAAATTCAAAAATTCTAAAATTCTAAAATTCTAAATTTCTAAAATTCTAAAATTCTAAAATTCAAAAATTCTAAAATTCTAAAATTCTAAAATTCTAAAATTCTAAAATTCTAAAATTCTAAAATTCTAAAATTCTAAAATTCTAAAATTCTAAATTTCTAAAATTCTAAAATTCTAAAATTCTAAATTTCTAAAATTCTAAAATTCTAAAATTCTAAAATTTTAAAATTTTAAAATTCAAAAACTCAAAAACTCCTAAAATTCAAAAATTCAAAAATTCGAGAATTCGAAAATTCTAAAATTCTAAAATTCAAGAATTCTAAAATTCAAAAATTCTAAAATTCTAAAATTCTAAAATTCGG